GATCCTGGGCTATGTCCAAATTCAACATGTGCTTGGATTAACTAGCAACATCTGCCACAGGCACTGAAATAGTTAGGGTGGTGCTTGTGGCAAGCACTTGCCATTCTAGTCTGGTGTTTCCCTTGCTACAATGAAGCAAGAAGCTGATCAGAATTTTTCTGGAAGGCTCCCCTGACAACTTTTCTTGTTTGTTTGCAGTACTGGGGATTGAACACAGCCTTCACACTGAACTACATCCCTAGCCCTTTAAAATTTTTGACACAGGGTCTTGTTAAGTTGTAAGTTGCCCAGACTGGGCTAGAACTTATGGTTCTCCCCCCTCAGCCTCCTAGAGTGGTGGGGTTATAGGTGTGTGCTACCACATCCAGCTCCTCTGATTACTTTTAGGGTGTGAGTGTTCTATCAAAGGACAGATAATGGGCTACTCAGAGCTATGTTATCTAATGCAGTAGCCACTAGCCACATGTAGCTAGTTCAATTTAAATTAATTAAAATTAAATAAAAATATAGCTTCTCAGTTGCATGAGGCATATTTCAAGTGCATAATGGCTAGTGGTTACCCTACTAGGTAGTACACATACAGAGTTTCTGTCATCACAGAGAGCTAGCTCTGTTGGACAGGACTGGACTAGAACAGTGGTTCTCACCAAGTGGTGATAGTGCCTGCCAGTGGACATCTGGCAATGCCTGGAGACATTCTGGTTGTCACACACGACTGGAGAGGAGGTACTGCTGGCATCTAGTGGGCCAAAGCCAGGAAAGCTGCTAACCATCCTGCACAGCACATGACAGCCCCCACAACAAAGAGTCATCCTGCCCAAGTGTCAACAGTGTGCAGATGACACTAGTCCAGACGCTGGTCTAGAAGAACCATGGCAAGTAGAGAGGGGCATGGAGGGAGAAAGAGGGCAAAAATCTGCTGTGAACAAATAGACATGACACAGACAGAAATACGAAAATAAGCCACTCTGTGTTGGTATAAAAATGAGAGGAAAAGCAGGTCACTAAACCTCACTGATCTTGTTTCCTCCTCCATAAAACAGGGACAATGTCATCTATCCCCTTGATAATCAGTGGATTAAATGATATGAGTGTGAACAGGTTTTGTTGTCTATCCTAGTAAAGCAATATTGCACAAATCATTGTCCTAACCCATGTTGTTCACTAGATTCAGCTAAATATTCCAATCTTGAGTAAAAAAGCACTAATTCCCAGTTTTATCTCACTCTTTGTGAACTTGGGGTCACTTAAGTCCGAACATCTCACTTCCTGATCTATAAAATGGGGCTAAACATTCACACCCAAACTCACAGGAATATTAAGTGCAAATGAGACATTTAATCCCATTCAGCAGCCGTGTCTCTCTCTCTACTCAACAGCTAAACCAGCTGCCCTCTGTGAAATGGAAACTTCAACCCCAGTTGTCCCTGAGAAACAGCTGAAACTGTGCTGTCTTTGGCAGGTGGAGACACAGTGCCTGAGACCTAAACCTTGAAATTCCTGCTACTCCCAGTGTGAGTACTGGTCACAGACATGGGCAACCCACTTGGCCAAATCTTGAGGATCTTCCCTCTGCTGCTAGAATCTATAGTTTGTTAGTTTTTTTAAGTAGTTAAGCATCAGACAGAAGAACAGTACATAAAGCAGAAAAGGAAAATTACAGAGCTGGGTGAGTCATGGGGGTGGGAGTAATTCCGATGAAGCCTGTGGTGTGGAGCTGATGGTGCCCTGAATCCTTCAGACTGAGTGGGCGAGAGGTAGAGCAGGGAGGGAGAGAGGGAGATTGACACCTTCCATGATGTCAAGCAGCTTGCCTGTGTCATAAAGTTCATTTTGGTTCCCTCTGTTCAAACCAGACCTGAGATTTAATCCTTTCTTCTCGGAGGAGGATAGAAAATGTTTTGGAAGTGAGAGTAACAGGAAAGATTGGGGTACTACTAACACTGGGACCCTCAAGCTCCTTCCTTGATGCCAGCCTTGAAGGAAAGGGCTGCCCTTAACCCAATGCTGTCCCGTAGGGCTACGTGTCCTTGAGCAAGTTGCTTCTGCTCTCTGTACCTTAATTGCACCATATATAAACATGGAGTGGATTGGGCAGAGCTTGGGGCCTGGTGTTTGTCTCAAACCCACCTCCTCCATTTTTCAAACAATTTGGTTCTATGTAATTTCAACATGAAAGTCATGCCATATACCTCAGCAACCAAGCCCTGGCTTAAAATGGGCCCTGCGGATGGTCATTGTCATCTCTAGTGACCAAGTGCATGAGGGCCCACAGGAGGCCAACTCCCAAGGCCTTGTAAAGACAAAGCCCTAGGTCCACTTCCTGGCTGCTCAAGGCAGGTCTCTCCAGCAAGGCCTGTGTTCTCATGACACCAAAGGGTGAACTCCAGCCTAATCAAATCTTAGCAACAGTCAGACCCTAATGAAATGCCATGCAGTTTTTCCACTTGGTGACAATGCAATGTGAGAGCCCCGTGCCATGCAGCAGTCTTCTGTCATCGATCTCCCACCAGAGACAAACCAGCTAGATGTACACCAGGACTACTTTGGAGAGTTTCAATATGCCCATTAGGCTGAGCCCCCCAGGACTGTTTGATGAGCCTGGAATGAGCCCAGAAACCTGCATTTAAAGCCCCTTCCCAGGCCAGCTAGCTGAAGGTCAATGGCCAACACTTGGACCAGCACCCCCAGATGGTGGCTCCTAGAGATCTCTGAGAGTCCCAAAGCCCTCAGTGCTGGAGGGAACACTAAGCTTCTAGTGGGGAAGGGTCATGTTCAAGGTCACAGAGTCAGCAGAGCCCAAGGCAAGTGACTCAAGTTGACCAGGCCTGTGTGTAGGTAGAACCAAAAACCTGTTAACTGGTGAGTCACAGCCCCTCAAAAGTAGGGGCCAGAAGCCTCCCTCTTCTCATTGTACTCTTCATCCTCTTTCTTCCTCTGCTATTCTTCCTCCTCCTCCTCTCTTGTTTTGTTTTGGTACTAGGGATTTTACTCAGGGCCTTTGCACTGAGCTATATCACCAGCCCTTTTAATTTTATGATTTTGAGACAGGGTCTCACTAAGTCATTATGTTGCCCAGACTGAGCTTGAATTTGCAGTCCTCCTGCCTCCCAGTCTCTTCTTTCTCCTTCTCCTTCTATTCTGTATCCCTCTCACCCCCACCCAGCCTCTACTATTACTTTCTAGAACTCATCCATATCCTGCTCTCACACAGGCCCTTCCCTGTCTGCCCTTAGGTGTGCCAGGACACACCAGCCACAGGACAATACCACTTAGATCAGTAGTAGGGACAGCATGCAGGGAACCATCCCTATGGGACACTCAGCCTCCAGGAGCCATGACCTGAACAAAGCTGGAGTTTTCTTGGACGATCACAAACTGAAAATAACAGCCTAGTGTTCCAAGGCTGCAGGACAAAAACCCAGGCACTGCTCATGAGAGTCAAGATCAGTTCGGGCATCTCAGAGCCACTTGGGAGGTATCTGGGCTCTTCCCACCAGCCACCTCCACGGGAAAGCCTCAGAGAGACTGCGGCCCTGAGGCCTACAGCAGCAAAGCCTTCAGACTTCTGGAAAGTAGCTCCAGGTGACCTCCCAGCCTGACCACTGAGACCTGTGGGTCTTCTTCATTCAAAGAAGAGCCTGGTAACGGGTGTGCCATCACCAAACACCCCTTCTCAAGGAAGTGCCTCATGACATTGGAAACTTCGGCCTTGAGCCACCACTCCCCTCCCCCACCACTCCTGCATGCTTTATTTGAAATTTAAACAGCATTAAAATTAAAAGTGACACGGAGCAGCATTGAGAATATGAAGGGGGAAGAATTGGGCTGCCTGACCCCTGAACCAGTGAAGCTGAAATCACTAGAAGTTTAGAAGAAATATAAATGCTGATGTCTGCTGGCCAAGATTCCACAGCAGAGGTTAACTCAGGACTCTGGGCATATTTTAAAAAGTGATTAGCAAACAGCCAGGTCCTCGGGAAAGTGATCAGCTTAGAAAGTACCCACCTAGCCTAGCATTGAATTGTAAAATCCTTCCACAGAATAGTCTTGTTTTTCAGAGTGAACAACACAGGCAACAGGCGAAGGGATAAGGCCTCCGAAGCCTTCAGCACCAGAAAGACTGAAAATAGAACAACTGGAAGGACTCAGGGCCTTCTGCCATGCCCCCCAAAAGCACAGAAAATTACAGCTTTCCCGTCAGCTCACAGGTGCCCATTGCAAAGCCCCACCAGACAGTACAGTACCTGATGACCGCAGGTCCCTGGAACGACTCCTGCCCAAAAGGTCTCCCCAGTTAGCCACAAAGGGACCCCAGCCAGCCAAGAGAGCTGGTCTGAAAGAGAAATGTCAGAAACACCCTCCCTAAACGCTCACACACATCCCCTTTCCTTGCTTCCCCTCTCGACCCTGGCCCCCACCCTCCTCCAAGCCAATGCGATCACAGCAGCTGTGCCTACAAGTCATTTCTAAAATTAGCCCCTGAGCTGCAGGTCCAGCCAGGAGAGAGCGGCAGCCTGGGGTGGCCGCTGACCAGGCAGTGGAGAGCATGGACATATTTGGTGGCACATTGCAGGGGAGGGGACAGCTCCGGACGCAAGCACATTCCCAGGCTTCATGTACCAGGGCAGGCCACACACCCATGCTCCTGCCCCTGCCCATATGGAAACCCAGAGGCTGCAGGAGTTGGACAGGAGGGGGTGGCTCTGCAGTCTGGTCGAATATGGGAGGGAAATAACTGGGGACAGTGCTGGTCACTGTGGGTGAACAACACAAGTGAATGTGCCTGATGCTGATGAGCACCCCTCACACAATGGGCAGCCTGCAACAAACTAAATTAACAGTGCTGACAACCCTGTGAGGCAGACTTTTCTCCCAGACCCATTTTACAGAGAAGAAAGCCAAGGCATGGAGAGGTTAAGCAACTTACCCAAGGCAGTGGAGAGAGCCCAGGCAGTGCTGCCTTTAAAAGGCTTGTTACAATCAACCCTGACACTAACCTGGGTGCTGTAAAAAGTGCTTCATCCTCAGGGCTAGAAGTGTGACTCAGGGATAGAGCATGTGCTGAGTATGCCTGAGGCCCAGGGTTCCAGCTAGCAATTATTTTTTTTAAGTGCTTTCTCCACGGCCTGGAAGGAAAAAAGAAAGTAGGGACTTCAGTAGACAGAACAAATCATGCAGATTTACATAGCTAACGGGAAATGGAGTCAGAGGTCTGATTCCAAAGACATGATTGTAGCTAGGTGTGGTGACACACACCTGTAATCCCAGCACTCCAGAAGTCTAAGGCAAGAGGACTGTAAATTCAAGCCCAGCCTGGGCAACTTAGTGACTTCACAAGATGCTATCTCAAAATGAAAAAATAAAAAAGAGGTGGTGACATAGCTCAGTGTGAAAGTCCTGGGTCCAATCCCCAGTGCTGCAAAAGAAGAAAGGCAGGATTGTTCAAACATGAGACACTGCTTCTCTAAGAATCATTTCCACCATTCCTATTTGCTGTTGCCCTGCTTTGTGACTAAGAACAATAACTTCCCAAAGTACACCTTTCCTCCTGAGCCTGGAGAATCAATTCAGTCAGAAGCTCACTAGAACACTAAATGAAGCCTACGTTAGATATAGCTGCCCATCCACATATAAACCAGGAAACTATGAGGGCTCTGGGCCCCCAGTGGAGAGTGACATTGTGGTTCAAATCTAAAATGTCCCTCAAAAGTCTCCTGTGTTCAGACGTGGGGCTTTTGAAAGGCAATTGGATCATGGAGTAGTATACTTGTCAGTAGATTCATCCACTGATGAGTTCAAAGCTGACTGTGCTGTTGGGGGCCTTGTTATAAGAGGTGGGTCACTCAGGGTGTGACCCAAAGAAGAGGGATGTATTCTTGTCCCCTGATCTTCCCTTCTTTTTCTCTCCTTTCTTGCCACTATGGGCAGCTTTCCTCTCCCACATCTTTCCACAATGCTGCTTCTTCTTTGGAGCCAGCTGACCACGGGCTGAATCCTTGTAATACATGAGCCAAATTAAACCTCTTCTCCTTTAGGTTGCCAGTGTTAGGTATTGTATCCAGCAATAGGAAAGCTAACTAATGTAAGTGGCTTGGGACATCATAGACTATTCCACAGGAAGAAGTTGGGGACAAATGATCCCCAAGCTGTCCCCTCCAGACTGTGCTGGACTGTCTGACAATGAAACATGAACCCACCTCATATGGGGTCCTACAACACCATCTCCTGGGGCATTTCTGTCCTTGTCATCTTTCTATGGCTGGGCCCCATGTAAGCTGTGACCTGTGGTGATGGTTTTGTGACCTAGAGAAAACTGTCCACCTCAAGGGAGCCAACGTTATACATCTCTCCGTCATTCCCCTGGGACCTGGGCTAGATGGATTTCTTTCCCCCTTCAGGACAACCAAGTATTACTTTGGGTATGCTGTGATTTAGGAAAACCCTTGTAAGCAAGATGTTGTCACCCAGCTAACCGTTTATCTCCCAATCTCCAGGCTTTGTTCCCAGGGAGGAGGAAAGGAAAAGAAAGTGAATGTAGTTTTACCAAGGCATTCAGAGAACTGATGACTTGTGGCTTGTGTCTAATTAGCATGGTGTCACCAAGAGAAAAGATGATGGTGCTTTTGGGTGGGGTGTGTGACAGTTGTGTGGGCATAGATCCTTCTGGACAGAGTAGGGAGGAATCATCACACACTGCTGTTGGGCTCCTAGTCCTTCCTCCTAGAGCCGTGGCCTCTTCAGCCAGTGAATTCTGTGTCTGCAAAACGTCCAAAGGATTGTGACATTTTACTGGGGCAAATGACCTCAGTCTCTTACCAATCCCTAATCTTTCAAGGGTACAAACTGAGTGAACTCTTGCTGAGGGCCCATCCCATTAATCAATCACCCCCATGAGCCCTGCAAGCCCTGCCCATCTTGTCACTCAGGAGGATGATTCTAGCCACCTGGCTTGAATGGAGAAGTGCCATCATCTGGTCTTTGTCATCTTGGGGTCCTGTTATTCCCAATTTCCTAGAGACCTGCCTGTGTACCTGCACATGTACTAATAAACAGAGGAACAGTCCTGGTGTGTCTGTGTGTGTGAGAATCAGGAGAAACCTTCCACATGACTGTTGCCAAGGCCTGGGTTGGATGTCACTGTTCCTATAGCAAAAAACAGGAAGAGTATTTCTCAGTCTATGTCCCTTGAAGTGGCTGGTATACAATAGGTGCTTAATAAATGCATACGCCATGAATAACTAACTGCATGGAAGCTGGGCTGGAGAAGGTGCCTGAAGATCTGGTTCTGTGTCATGCTTTCTCTAGATGTTTATCTGCCAGTCTACCTGTCCATCCACCACCAGTCTGTGTCTCGGTTCATTCTTGGCACTCAATAGCTGTTCATGGGATCTTTGGTAAATGGAGGAACAGTGAAAAATATCATATGCCTGAAGCATAGGGGAAGAAGAGATATCTGCAAAGGAAGCTTCCTATGAAACCCATGCTCTAACCAGAAGGTTGCAGATCTGCACAGAGCTCTGGTGGTAGGGGAGTATAGGGAGGGCATGAGCTTTGGATCCAGATCCAGTGCTGGCCACTTCTCACTGGATGCCTTGGGGAAGTGTCCTCACCCAGCTGGGCCTCAAGATTTCCCTCTGTAAAATGGGATTCTTATTACAATGTTCTAGTCCACATGACCCATAGACCCTCAGTGATGGCTGAATGATAGAATGACCCAAAGTAGATACTGCATTTCCCCCAAAATAAGACCTAACTGTAAAATAAGCCCTAACATGATTTTCCAGGATGCTTGTAACATAAGCCCTAACCCTAAAATAAGTCCCAGTTAAGATCATCAGCCAGACAGACACATTTAGTATGTCCACTGCAACTCACGATAAACATTTTGAATTATAAAATAATATTAATATATAATTAAATATAAATAAATAATATTATTGACATTAATACTTAAAATAAATGATAATATAAATTATAATTAAGTATTTTAAATACCCAAATGGGCACCTTTGGACAAGAAGTAAGTAAACAGGTAAACTCGATACTTACTGTCAAATGACCAATTAGAGTACAGACACAATGCATGAATAACATGCACACTTGATAACAAATGGACATAGTTGTGTCTAGTATGAATCTTCATAATTTAATACATGGTGTGTTGTAACAGCTGTGCTTAATGTACTTCTGTGAAATAAAGAAATGTTTTCTGAATTTTGGTGCCTGCAATTGTTTGTCACTTTTGTGTGGACCATCATTCTTAATTGTCATCATTTTTGTTGCCACTGTCTCGTAAGCCTTCAGTTAACACTTGACTTAATGGAAATTTTGTGAAGTCTATCCTGCAAGAGGTCATGACTTGGATAAAGAATTCATGGGATAAAAATCACCGACAGCTGTGTTGCCAAAAAGCAAGCTACATGGACAAGAAGAGCTCTATTGCTGGACATGAGAGATCGAGGCTAATGGCTCTACAGGAAATGGAGTTGCAAGAAATTCAGGCCAGAATTTGGGGTTCATAGAGTTATGATGATGTTCCAGAAAAAGATGACATGAGTATATTTGAATAAATGTAGATTTTTTTTTACATAAACCAATGAATAAATGTAGATTGTTGTACATGAATAAATGTAGGTTACTGTACATGAAAAGATAAGACATACCCTGAAAATAAGCCCTATTGTGTCTTTTGAAGCAAAAATTAATATTATAAAATTTGGTCTTATTTCCAGGGAAATACAGTATATAAAGGCCTTTCCCCTAATCAGTGCTGGCTGCAGAGGGGAGTTGCCACTGAACTTCCTAGTGGTACTGGTGCCAGTTCCCCTGGTTGCCTTGGAGTGTCCTCTTGGCGCCTCAGTGGGTTGTCTGGTCTTATTTAACATGTCCCCTCAAGCATACCCATGTCTCTGGAATCTTTAGTTCCTTCTTTAACTGTTTACCACAGGAACTCCAGCATCTCAACCTCTTGAAGCACAGACCTTTCTGTGCTTATAAGAATCAGCCTGTAGTGGGTTTGCACCATCTCCTAGTGTCCTTGCCTGGGGCAAAACCTTGTAGTTGGAAGGAGCAATTGCAAACTGATAAACGATCTTATCCAGCCTTTCTGCTTTCCTTGTTCATATACCCTCTGCTTTCAACCCCACTTTTTCTCTCTCTGCTCTAACAATCCATGCTGGCTGAGTTTCATATCTCCATGGTGGTATCATTCACTTCCTATCCCATCAGGCCCAGCAGCATCCTAGCTGGGGTGTAATGTTACCTAATCCCAGGTATAGGCCTAGAGGCTGAGTGGGAGTGGGGAAGAGCAGACACTGATGGGGTCCAAATAGCCTCCGCAGCATCCTTAAACCAGGGGGAGTTGCTTCTTTGTAGGAGGGGATGGGACACTTTTGCATCCTGTAAGAGGTTCCCAGGAGTCTGGACATCCAAATTTCTGGGGACATCAGCTCAGATGTCCCCATCTCCTGTGACAAGGTCTCATGCTTTCCCAAGCAGAGCAGGCCAGGGATGGTTGGGAGTTCAACCATCTTTGGAGCTTGTCTGATCAAGCCATTGAGTCCTGGCTCTGGTTCTCAGTTTTCTTTGCCTCCCACTACAGCTGGGGCTCTCCTGTATGCCAGCAAGAGATCCTCTGGCTTTTATACTTAGCTTTTAATTGACCATTAATTTCTTTCTGCTTTTTAGTCTTTTTATAAAGCATCAATCAAACTTAGCAACACCTACCCAATTCCATTGCCCTGCATGTACTATTTCTCTTCCTCTTTGTCTCAAATGCTTGCTATGACCTGCCAGCCAATCATTCCCCTCCACTGGTATTTCATCCCAGTCCACTCCCATTAGAAGTTTAAATACATGTGCTGCCCCTGGAACCAGGGACTAATTAATTTCTAATTCCTGCCACCCTTCCCTCCAGTTATAGTACTGACCTCGTGCTCACTTCGGCAACACATATACTATAGTACTGACCTGGCAGGGAGTGCTCCACCTCCTAGGTCCATCTTAGCCTCAGGTTTCTCTGGCTACTGCTGATACCAATAACTGTTCACTGGGTTCCCTGAGTCTGAGATGGGATCTAGTGAGCAGATGTCTATGAAGGAATGCCCTTGGGATCAACATTCACTGAGGAATGAGGAGGGAGTCAGAATTGGGCAAAGGGAGATGTCGACCTGTGATGAAAACTCAGAGACCACCGCAGCCAACCCACTGTGACCTCTGGACCCCAGGTGTTCCAGGTTGTGATAAGAAGGTCAGGCTGCTATATCTCCATGTCAACCAACTGTTGGACAGGAGCCACCACCCCAGGAAGGGCATGAGATTAGGCACGGTGTCTCTCTGTAACTGAGGCATCCTTGTAAGGGGTGACAGCTGAGAGCCATTTGAGGCGAGCACTCCCAGCAACTGAACCAAGGATCCTTCCATGAAAGAGGGTCTGAACTATCAGTGACAGCACCCACGACCCTGGCCAAGGTCAGGCATGAAACTTTTCCTAGGTGAGTGACTCATACATGTTTACAATCTGTGCCATTACTGATACCCAGAACCCAGGTGGCTGTGGACGGCCAACCCTGGTAAGCTGTGGCCCTGTAGCCATAATTCTGCTCACCACTGCCCTATATCTACCAGCACTGCCAAGGCTGTGGTCAAAGTTATTCCTGAGCTGAATAAGAAGCTCAAGGGCATTACATCTCCTGTTGCTGAGCCCACTACAGACTGATGTGCTGCTTACAAAAATATGTGAAATACACCAACATCAAGATGCTGGTGAAGGCCAGGGCATACTAGTGATCATCTGTAGGTCCAGCTACTCAGGAGGCTGAGGCAGGAGGATTGCAAATTCAAGCCCAGGCTGGGCAACTTAGTGAGACTTAGTGAGTCCATGTATGAGACTGTCAAAAAGTAAAAAATTTAAAAAGGCAGTGATGCAGCTCTGTGGTATAGCACTTTGCCTAACATGTATGAGTCCCTGGGTTTAATCCTCAGTACAAAAAAAAGTTAGTGATAAAGCAGGTATTAGAAGAGCTCTGGGCTATGGGAAGGCTATGGGTTCCCTCCTGCTATTTTAACAATAACATCCATTCTTCCACATTTGATGCTGGGCCTGGTGTGATCTCCAACCGTCCATGTGCTCAGCTCACGTCATGCCTTGATAAGCGATTTGGCCATAGCTACCACACAGTAGGTCTCAGTCTCTGTGGGCTCTGAGGAAGTAGGGCCTTGGCCACCAAACCTGATGACAGCTTTCACCCTCTGTGAAGACCCTACTCAATTCTATCCCCTAACACAATGAAAGCACCTATTACCAAAACCACTGGTGCTTAACTGGGGGTAATTTTGCTCTCAGGGGACCTCTGGCAATGTCTGGAGGTATTTTGAGCGTCAAGACTTGGGGGTGGGATGTACTGCCAATATCTAGTAAGCAAAGGCCAAGGATACTGCTAAACAACCTATGAGGCACCAGTTCCTCAAAATTACCTGGCTCAACATGTCTGTGTTAGCTACTTTTCTCTCATTGCTGATACAAGATACCTGACACAGAAAGTTAAAGGGAAAGATTTGTCTTACAGTTTGTAGAGCTGTTAGTCCATAATCATCTGGCTCCAAGACAGCAGTGGCAAACAGGCATTGCAGAGGAAAAACAACATGGTGTGCACAAGGTAGCAAAGGCAACAAGGGAAATTAAAAGTGCCTTTCTGCTCCTTTTATCTTATTCAGGCCACCGGGATTAAGGCAGTGTCAAACCAATGACTCACATGTAGTGGTTTAGGGGCCAGGGATTTAGCTCAGTGGTTCCACTGCCTGCCTCAAAAGCACAAGGTCCCGAGTTCGACCTGTAGTACCAAAAATAAAAAATAAAAATTTAAAAAATAGAAAAAGAAACATGTAGTGGTTTAGTAATCACATGCCCTTAACCCTAGCATCACACATTCCAGATTTAGCTACCTCCAAAAAAATGACTGCATGAGGCTTTGCGGGGACATCTAGACACAAGCCACAGTGGTATTGAGGTGCACAAGTCCAGATCCACTGTTTCCATTCCAGGTCCCCTGAGAAAGGGGGACCTTTGGGTGCCCCACTTTGTCCTAGTCCCCAGGACTGTCATAAAGTCTACACTGTGAATACCAGGGTCTAGATTGAGGAGGAATGATGCAAGCATTTATCCAGAAGTCACAGCTGAAAAGACATTCTCCCATTGGTTACTCTGAGCAGAGATCAGTAAAGAGACTCTATCCAATAATGGGCAGTGTGTAGGAAACCAGCGGGAGAAAAGAAACCTCAGAGCTAAGAGCAGAGGAAGCCCACCCACCCCTGGCTTGAAGGAGAAGGAAGAGTGTGTCCAGGGAGCTCCCAGAGGAGTCTCTCTGGCTTATGGGTGAGGGGACAGCTGACCCAAGGTCACCTGCAGGGAGAAAGCTTGGGGAATGGGACTCCAACTTTTCTCTCCTCCTGCCCAATGGCCTCTTGTGGTGCCTCTTGAACCAGCCCCAAGTCAGACCCTCTGGAACCCTGGATCCAGCCCAAGTAGCCAAGCCTCCTGGGACAAAAACATAAATGTCTTAACATGAGTAACAACAATTTTCTCTAACTGTAGACTAAAAAAGCTAAGAAAATCATACGTAAGTTAATAAAACTCAATTGTGATTTTTAACAGTGGTATCATTTTTGAATTACATCATTTTAGGTTTAATATAATAGGAATAAAAAGATTTATACATATTGTACTTAGAGGAGACATTGTCAAGTTTTAATAACAACTTTCAGTTTTTTCCTTCCAAATGACCTTTTTTTAGGTTTCTCAAAAAATATTATCATAAATCAGTCTAACTTCAAAAAAGAACCTGTTGCTTTGGTTTTGTTTAATCATGGGCCTATGCCTCTACCAACTCACAGTGCTATTCTGGAGGGTGTTATCTGGCTTACAATGTATTTTCTTAAATGGTCTGTTCTATTTCATATAACACAGGCTCAAATCACAAAACAAAATTCATTAACATATCATCAAAGCAAATACATTGTTTTCAAGCATGCCCTTTCTGGTATAGTTGAATCTCCACCGCCTCCCAAAATTCCACCCTATTCAGGAATATATAAAAACAAAGTGCTTATACATTGTTTCAAGCCTGTTTAAAGATAGTTTAAAGTGAGAGAAAAATGTGTCTCCTTTCAAGAAAAGCAGATGACTTCACGTAAATTACTCCAGACTGATTATGGTGCAGTGAACAAAACATCACACTTGCAACAAATAATTTTCTGTCTTTGTAGAAAAAGTGACATAATGTTTCCATGTTTTTAAGCTGCTTATTTCTCCAAAAACACATTCAAATTCCCATGATAGTACAAAGAATAACATGCTCCTCCGTACATAACTCATCAGTAATACATTACTATCCAAGTGCTGAGTATTTAATTACACAAATCCCTGTTCAGTGCTGCTATTGTTCTGTCTTCCTTTCCTGTAGGAGATCAGATGAAGAGGGTCAAGGCCTAGCTGACCTTCTCTGAAAGCACAGGGGAGAAAAACAGCAGGCTGTGCTCTTTTGGCCAACAACACAAGCACGCTAGCATGTTGCGCGTTCCAGGGAAGAGTCCAGAGCTAGATGAACCCTCTGTTACCTTGATTGTTTACTCACGTGTCCAAGTGAATAAAAGTGAGGTGAGCCAAATGCTCAGGGCTCCGGTTCAACTCGAGACAGAGAGCCCCTGTCCCGGCATTCTAAACTAACTCTTTTTGTCTTTCTTCCCCATTCGCCCTCTAGAAAGGAGCAAACTCATAGGATGGCCCCCTACACTTTCCTGTCCTTTAAAAATAAACTGAAAGTTTCAAATATAACATAGATGAGGTTTTCTAAGTAGAATGCACTTGTTCATAGATATACTCCCTAGATAACTAATAGCCAATCTTTCAACAATCAGAGTAGCACTGCTTGGAATGCAGTGTTCAGACATTTTTAATTATAAAATATTTTCAACAGTTGAAAGGTAAATTAAAAGGCAAAATCCTGTCAGTATCCTCCCTACCCCAAAAAATCAGTCTTGTATAAAGTCAATGGTAGTTCTGAAAGGTAGAATGATGACTGAATTGGGCTCCACTTTTTCCCAACAAAGGCCCCAAAATCTGTCAATAAATCCGTCACGCTTGGCCCCGCCCCTCTCGGCGGCAGCTGAGCGTGGAGCGGAGTAGGAAGGGCCCTCGTCCCTGCCCCTGAGGTCAGTACCCTTCTCCCGCCCTAAGCTCCGCCCCCATCCCCCGCGCAGCTGCCGTAGTTCACTGGTTGGAGAAGCCGTCGGCCCCGCCCCCGACGTCACGCCTTACACCCTCCCTCGTGCTCGGCCCCGCCCCGCGAGTCTGTGACAGTTGGAGGTTCGAAGTTCGAGGATGCTCGCCTGTCGCTGCTGACTAGAATGGACCCTGCCAGACTTCAGCCCCCGCGGGCAGAGACAGGCGCTAGGTGGCGGGAACGTAGCCCAGGCCGCTCCCAACGCGCGGCTGACTGGCTTTCCCGCTCGCCCCCAGAAGCGGAGACCCGGCAGAGCCTGCAGCGCACCGTGAAGGAGGAGGTAAGTGCCGGGCGGCCGCCGCCAGCGAGGAACGAGGCGCTGCGGCGGGGCGGCTACTTCAGGGGCCAGCTCCCCTCTGGGCGCTGCCTCCTGCAGACCTGGAGGCAAGTGGAGTTCGGGTCCAAGGGCTTTGGCTGGGGGAGGGGAACATCCGTGTTTTTCATCGGTGTGAGAAGACAGGCAGTGTGAGGACCCCTTCCCCCGGGTGTGGGTAAAGTGGGCGGCCTGTAGGTGGGAGTCTTGTAGATGCTGGTGGGTGGGCTCAGTAAGGAGTCTTAAGGGAGAGACGCGCTTTTGACGGGCCAGGTAGGACTTGCTGATAGGGGACGCAGAATGCGACTGTCTGGGAGGAATCAGGCTTTAGGAAAGGAGTTTTATTTGGTAAAGTCAGGGCTCCTAACCCCAAATCCTCAGTCCTTGGAGCCACCTCCAGGCGCCAGGGGAACTCACTCCGAGGGTCCTGGGTCAGGGTCCGTGGGCTCCTTTGGCAGGTAGAGTGCCCTGGCATTGCCTTCTCCAGTCTACACACTCAGGACAGTGAGAGCCAGATGCTGTCCTGACTATACCCTTAAATGTTCCGTTCCCTACGAGGGTGGCAGGGAGGGCTTTGGAGTTTTCCCCACCAGAATCCTTCTTTGCAAAGACCCAAAGCCCATTGCTTCTCTTGTTGTGGTAAGCACTTGGCGCCAGTTTGGAAAGAAGCGCTCAGTTTGTTTGCAGAAAGCTTGGGCTCCCTGACTGTATCCTCCCTAGTGCAGACTAACAACTTGTGGAAACAGTTGATGTGTTTCCCGTCTTTATAATTTTCTCTTCTCCAAAATATAGCATATTGGGTCATAAGCTTGCAGCCATCTCATATTGGCTTCTTTCAGTTAATAATGAACTTTTAAAGTTGGGCATTCCTTTCCATTAGCACCATTCTCCTTGGCAGCCCACCTGTGGCAGAGAGAGAGGGAGAGCTGGGAAGTACTAAGCATGCCAAGAGAGGTGGGCCATAAAAACTGGTGACCCAGGGCAGAGTGGACACTGGCTCCAGGAGCAGGGAACTGGCTATGACTACTATGCTCAGTGCAGAAGACTGAGAGCTCAGCATACTAGCTACCTGGCCACCCTCCTGCTGAGGTCCCCACCTGAGGCAGCCTGGGGTGCCTGAGCAGAGGCCTTTATTCATATCCTGGCCTCTTTGCAGGCCTGATTGACCCTTGCCTCTCCCAGGTGAACAACTTCACTGGGAATGTGGGAATAGTGACAGTGGCATCTGCTATAAATCTTGGGCTCATGTTTATGAAGCCCACCTATAGGAAGCACCCACAGGTGTCTGTGGAATGAAGAACCACCATAGTGTGTGCCAGTCTTGGTGTGTGACAGATAGTCCTAGGTTTAAATCCCCACAGCAAGTCACTTGACCTGACCAGGACTCAATTTCCTCATCAGTAAAGTGGAGCTATACCCACTTACTGAGCTATCATGAGGATTAAATGAAGTCATGCCCTTAAGTATGGCACCAGCACACAGTGAACACTTTGTAAGTACATGCTGGTTTTTTCTACTTGAGGCAAGAATATAAAGCAGCTATTGCATTAAATGCTTGAAATGTACAGTGCTCTCTCACTATTAAGGGACATTGGTTCCAGGACCCCCTAACATACCAAAATCCATAGTTGCTCAAATCTGTTTTAGAAAATGATGCAGGTGTGTCTAGGACTTGTGTACATTCTCCAGTATACTGTATCATCTCTAGATTACTTACAGTACTGAGTATAATGGAAATAGTTGTTATATTGAAATAGAGAATAATGACAAGGACTAACTGTACATGTTTAGTAAAGTTGCTTTTTTTATTCAGAGTATTTTCAATCCATGGGTGATTGAATCTGCAGATACAGAACCCTCAGATGTAAAGGGCTGGAAACTGACTGTGTTATGCCTGTAAGGCAGAAACTAATATTTCACTGATGGAAAAACCCAAAGCTCAGAAAAGGGATGTGAACTGCTCCAGAGCATTCGTGAAGGTCAGATTCCAGAGCTAGATGCTCATAATCAAGTAGTAGCAGGAGTGACACTACAAGATCAGTGGAGGGGGGACCATATCAAATTAGTGCAGGACTCAGGAGGGAATGAGAAGAGGGCATGTGACTTGGCCCTGGAGGATTGGGTAATTTTTCCAGATCCAAAGATGGTGATAGACATGGATCCTAGTGGAGGGAGCTACAGGAGCCAAGGCCAGACAGTGGGAATTGCCTGGGATACATAAAAAGAGTGGCAAATGTGACAGAGCTTAAGAGTATGGAGATGGATAGGAACAAGGTTCAGCTGGAAAGGAAGGTTAGGTCACACCCAACCAGCTACTTTTTGCAGGGTAGTCCCCTCCATTACATTCCATCATTCTATCTCCTTCAGGTCTTTTCTGTGGCTGCAACTTGGAGCTTCCCAAAATATTCCCATTTACACCTCTGCCAGTCCCATTCAGGCTGCTCCCAACTGTCACCTTCTGCATTCCTTGTGCAAAGCAAATGAAAAAAATTAACAACTGCCAGCACTTATTTTTAGTAGCACATGTTTGCGGTACATAATGTTTACATTCTTTTATGCCTAGTAGTATTTGTTTTATGAAGTTGGGTATGCAGTTGTTTGATCCATATATTTTAATAACTTTTAGTTCTTCATGTTGGATTGTTCCCTTAACCTGTATGTAATGACCTTCTTTGCCTCTTTTGATCAGTTTTGGCTTGAAATCCACTTTGTCTGAATATAGGATACCTATACTTAACCTTTTCTGGGCTCCTGTTGCATGGAATAATTTTGTCCATCCTTTGATTTTTAGTCTGAGTTTCTTTTTGGGTTAAATATGTTTCTTGTAAACAGCATGGAATTGGGTTTTCTTGATCCATTCTGCCAATCTGAGTCTTTTGATTGGGGAACTGAGACCATTCACATTGAGACTTATTATTGATAGATAATGACTTATTCACGTGATTGCCTTATTTTCCTGTTGCTGCTTGCTTATCTTTCCCTTCTATGCAACTGTTCACCCTAGCAGGTATATTCATTCTATTAGACCTTTTGTCATTGTTAACTTCACTGTCTCTTTCTAGGATATCCTTGAAATTCTTTTTGGTGGTTTGCTGGTCATGAATTCTTTTAGGTGCTCTCTATCATGAATATATCTTGTTTCTCTTAACAGTCAGCCTGTGTTGGAAATTGTTTTCCTTAGGGCTTGAAACACTTCAAGGTTTAGTGATCTTCTGGTTTCATTGTTTATAGTTAGTACTCCAGTTTGGCTCATCCCTTTTTAGCTTCAATGGTTCTGACTTTGAAAACATCTGAAGCCATAGGTTTGGGTGGGAAGGAAGCACTTTAGTCTGATTTCTTGACCAGGCTGTTTATCTCCTTTTGCTTGCTGAGAAGTCTTGATAGGCAGCTTATTTCCAGCTCTTTGGGGATATAGAAGTGGTTAGCCTTCGCTTATACCCTACTGAGGGCTGTATGGTATGCTAACTGCAGTAGGTGAACAGTGATTTTGAGAAATGGAGGCAGCTTGGTATATAGAATAGGTACAATATTATTGTGTTTCACTGATTTGAATGTGTTCCATCCATTGTAATCCATGACATCATCTTCTGTATGGCTGAGAAAGAAAAAAGCTGCTAATTAAACTATAACATGCCATTAGTTGTAAAATGTAATCCACTTTCAGTAATATTAACACTGGAGAAAAAGGTCAGTGAAATGTGAATTAGTGGGATATGTATAGATTTAAAACCAGAAGACCACTCCTGGGTCTCTGCTGTTTCCTGTTACTATGATCTTGGATGAGTCACTGTTGGCATTTCAATTCCTCTTCTCTCTGAAAAGCCAGGGAGGGCGGGCGGTGGGGGGGGGGGGATGCTACTTTCATGACATGATCTGATTTTTTTGTGTGTGGATGGATGTGGTTAGGAATGTCTTGGTGGAACTCCTCTGTCTTTCCCTGACCTGTTCTACTCTGCGCCAGCTCAGAGTAAATGGTTCATTTGTAGTGGTCAAGAAGTAATGAATGAATGAGGTGTAGAAATAAATGATGTGGATAGTGTTTAACACATGGTTACTTTTTTTCCTTCCTTTTATTTTTCTTTATAGAAAGAAAGAACTCCTAAGCCAACAAGAAAAGATGGTGTGAATCATTATCTGACAATATGTGAAAACATAGTGCAGTCTCTTGTGTAATCACACTTTAAACTTTCTAGAGAAAATTAAAACTATATATTTTCAATCTTAATTGGTTAGAATGTTCTTTGTGTGCTTGGTTTTCTTTAAGAAGTCCATTGAAAATAGGGATCCTTTCTCCATACATAGTTCTGGCTATGTAGTAAGGTTAGTCATATACAATCAGAGGTAATGAATCTTATATGTAATAATTGTAGCCGTTATGATCCTTGAACAGCATGTTAATATTTAATTAGCACTCTTGATAACCACTTCTTTAATCATCTTGGGTTTGATTATTTGTTGCAGTAATGAGAACAGCCTAAAACTGTGCAGTATATCATTTCTGTTCCAGGCAGTGGGCTGCTACTTGGCATCCTGTGGTGGTGCCTGTGGTCCCAGCAGTGGCTGCTGTGGGCTCTTCATTGTTGGGGTCATGAGCTGGTGATGGAGGGCATTTTCCCTATCTGAACTTTCTTACTAGATGGACCAACAGCACCTTGTGTGGTGTCTTTGATAGTTCTCATTCTCACTGCTTTTCTGTCTTTCTGACCATTTTTCCTAGTAGCTATGGATAGTAAATATTTTAGGCCTGTTTCCAATGGCTGAATTAGGAGATAATCTTTACTTGTAATTTTTGAATTCCATTACCCAGATGGGCATGTGTGAAAAATTCTCCTTATTTTCTTTTTCTTGAAACAAATAGTTTATGTTATTCTCCTGCTGGAATCCTAGAAAGAGCACTTCATAATCTGTTAGAAAAATAAGCTAGGTATGATTCCCACACCTGTGATCCTAGCACTTGGGAGGTGGAG